TATTTTTTCGCAATAAGTTTATTACAGTTTTTTAAGATTAATTTGGGGAATTTTTGGGGGGATTATTACATTTCAGATTAATTGCGTTAATGTCGACAACCATATCGACACGTAATTATTATTTCTGAAATTAATTCATTCGTTTGAATAATATATTAGTTCAACATCTTAATACTTAGACCGTAGTGGCGCTTCGGATTGTAATGTTATTTAATATAAACGGTCTTGTTTCCTATCTTATTGTTACATATATTTATTTCAACATTTAATATCCCTTAGGACCTCTAAATCGCCGTCTATCATCAATCTGTGAGAAAGTAAAGAAAAAAAGTAAAACTATTGTATATTACATATATCATATACAGAGTCCGGCAAAATGATCTCCCACATTTTGCACCGCCACTGTCCCCGAATCACTGAAGAGAGGGGGAGCTTAGCGTAATCGGTTGGTAGCTCGCGCCTTGCCATTTCATTTGTTGTCATGAATTGGACGGGCGAGTATCGTGCTTTCGTTATCGAAACATTTATGAAAAGTAACGAATCTGTGATTACGACGCAAAGAACTTTTCGTACTCACTTCGCGCTTGGTAGATACGCTCCAGTTCCAGATCGCAAAACAATAATCTCAAAATGCGTAATCTCGTTACGTGGAGACGTTGGGTGGCCTGCGCGTTCACCCGATCTTGCCCCATGCAACTTTTTCCTTTGGGGCTACCTGAAAGCGAAGGTTTTTCAACACCACCCCCGAACCATTGACGAATTGAAAGCAGCAATACGCCAAGAAATTACAGGAATATCGCCTCAAATTATTGCTCGAGTGATGGAAACTTTTAGAAATCAGCTTCGAATGTGTATCGAAAAAAATGGTCGCTACTTGGACTCTGTAATTTTCAAAACTCAATAAAAACAAATGACATAGCATAAATTTTCAGTTAATAAAAATAAAATCTAAATAGCATTTACTAAATGGCGTTTTTATTAAAGATTAAAATGTGGGAGATCATTTTACCGGACCCTGTATAAGGAATAGAAAGTTACAGGATAAGAATATATGTTTTGCATATAGACATATCTACAATTTCCAAGTTAAAAATCAATCAAAAACTGAATTTCCATGATTTTCTAATTATCATAAATGTAAATTTAATATCTATATCAAAAATATATTTTCTTATCCTATTTTTATATCATAACAGTTCGAAGTCTCAGAACTGTCCTTTGTATTGAGTGAGATCTTTTTATAGCTATGACTACTATTAATGAAATTGATAAATTCTAATTCTCTCTATTTAGTAATAAGATTAAAATTATATAATTTTTCATGTAGAAAAGTTATTAAGTTATCATACTATACCAAACATAATTGTGATAAATTTGACAAAATTTTTGACAAAATTAATTTAATTTTTTTTTAAAGAATGATTACAACATTAATAGAAAAATAGTATAGAAAATACTGAATACAATAAGCATATATTTAGATAAATATTGGTGCCTTTATAACTGGAACTCTCTATTGTTGATCTGTAAAATCTAAATATTATAAAATAAATTTGTCATATCTGTCATACTTTTGTGATTGGAAATATTTAAATTATTTAATATTGCAGATTAATTCATAATAATATATATTATATGGAATTAGTTTTTTACGCGACAAACCGTTACTTTTGTATAAACCTTACACGACACAAATATAACAGGTCTTCTTTTTAAAAATTAAATATTTTTATAATTTACGATATATATGCCAAAATACTTGTAATTATTTTTATATGTTAATACTTGTTAAAAAATGCTCAAATATATTTTTTAAAACTAAGTGATATGTTGTTACTTAATAATTCCACATTTTATAATATGTATAAGTAATTTTAAAAATTAATTTTTTTAATCATTGGACTTCCTATAATTGGGAATATATATAACATAAAATTCAGTTAGATATGTAAATTATTTTCTTAAAAAATGCTCATTCACATAATATGTATTGAAGGAATGATATATGAAAAATATATGCTATTATAGTATAATATTTTTATAGAAATTTTATTTTTGTCATTTTGCCAGATTTCGAATATGAGAATTATAATACAGAATTGTGTAATCACGTTTTGCAATTTTTTCCTTACCTCATCCTTGAAATCTGCCAAAAATGTAATTCTGTAATTAAAACAAAAATATATGAGGTATGTTATAAATATTCATATTAAAAAATTCATTTTTAAGATTGATAATTCATGTGTCGTGTGATAAGTAAATTTTTAAATCTGTTGATAGTTGCAAAAAACAGAGAGGTCTCGGATTTCCGTGTTGCAATCAATCAACAGATTTGAAATCTTTACCGACACACGAAATGTTATGCTTCGGTCTTAACTCTAAAATCCTAAAATTCAATAGAGCTGCCAATCCTAATTAGATCTAATTGAAATCTATATTCCTATCACTAGCTGAATTTTAGGATTTTAGGGTTAAGACTGAAGCATAAACCAAGCATTAGGTTTAGAAGTCTTAAAAACTTGAATGCAAAAATATTCAGAAAATATATGACATTCTTCAATATATATCTTCAGAAGACCGTCGTATTTTCATCGTTTAAGTTAAATTTTAATAGAATTATATTAACCCTTAGTACACACTTTAGTTTTTGGCATCCTTATTACACACGATGAGTCTTTCGCGTTTTGGATTAATTTCATAACTTTTATAAGTACAGTAAATCAAGTAAGAGCGTGCTCGATCAGCGTGGTGTTGCATCATTTCATGTTATTAGTCTTGAGATAGGTTCGAATAATTTCGTACGATATATCTAAACCTTTCTGCTTCAATTTTGCTTGTCCTTGACGCAGTGTCAAGCCAGGATTCCGCGAAAACAGATTCACTATTTTTTTATCGTCTTTTTTGTCCTGTCTTTGCATATCGAGCCACGTTCCGGTAAATCATCGACATTTTTTGCCACATTATATCGCTGCACCCACTTCTGTACGAATGATTTCGACTTTTTCATGTATTTAGTAGCCGCTAATTGTGACATTTCTGGGTGAGTGCAGAGGAACACAGCTTCATAGCGTGATGCGTATTTCGTACTCATGGCGCTTAACGTGATTCTCTTAAGAAAGTTCAATGACAACTGAATCTTCCTTGATAGTGCATCTTGATAGTGCAAGGACAAAGGTGTCCTCTATGGATTCATGATAGATTTAGGGCGATATCTTTTATTAACTTTGAGTAAGGCCGACCACTCTCTTACTTGACTTATACAGGGTGGGCCATCTATTGGTACGTTTTTAAAAATGCGATCAAATGAGCATACATTGATATTTTTTATTAATTTTTTTGTTGTTGTGAAGCTAAAAGTATCCGCGTCAAGAATGAAAAACGATTTCGTTCATGTGGCTCCCTCTACTGGCCTTACAGTATGCCATTCGGTCACCCCAATTATTAATGACATTTTGGACTACCTCGGCGTCAATTTCACTCAAAACAGTCGTAATATAATGTCATCCACTAACATCCCTTTCTCACGAACTTTCCTCACCAATTTGCGTATAGCTCCTTCGGTGGGTGCTCTATCACGACCCATATTTCTTTTCAAAATTCGTACAGTTTCGGCGACACAGCACTGACTTTGAAAATAAGTTTTTAAAATTTCAAAACGCTCTTCAAGAGAAAACATGTTGTTTCGTGCCGCGGACGGTATGACTAATAAACTGTCAAAATTTCGGGTCTGGAGCTCGTTCGGTGTTGCCATACGACGAAATTCAAAAACGTACCAATAGATGGCCCACCCTGTATAAAAGGGAAAGTATTGTTTGCGAGAAAATGCAAAAAAAAACATTATTTTCTACGATTCCCTGGAAAAAAAAACATAATTTTATTGTTCTAAACTGGCAGCATAAAAATTATTAAGCAATTTTTACGGATATTTTGACATCTTCAGAAAGTTATTCTGAAGAAAGTATATTTATAATATTTTTACAAAGTTGTATATTTATAATAAATTGTATAAATTATGTACAATTGTTGTATAAAAACAAAATGTGCAGGACACAAATGACCTAAAAGGTTAACAATAGTAATATAAATTACAAATAATGAATATTAAAAACCATTGCTGTAAGATGTTTAGAATTTCTTGAAGCTTTTCTTTCATCCTGTTCCTTTCGACAACTTCAATACATTAAATCTTACTGTCTTGCTTAAAGGTCTGCATTCTCCAATGGTGACTACATCACCAATTTCTACATCTCTGAAACATAACGTTCGTGAATATAAATGCTAAATTAATTGCACATTTTTCTTTAAACATTATTTCGTAACTCAGATATATAATGATCATCAAAATATCTCAGTAGACCATCGTGATACAAATTATCAGCATAAAAGTGGAAATTAAAAAAATTTTCATAAATAAAAAAATTATTTTATTGCCTATGTACCTAAAGCAAGGGCTAAGATGAGCACTCATATTGTAGTGCCGCTTTTCGAATCGATTGTATTTTCGGATGTAATGCAAGTAATCTCTGCGAATAACTGCAGTACGTTGCATTTTCAATTTTTGCACCATTCCAGTAAGAATGCGCCCTCTAATTGACGCATTGCCCGTAAAGGGACATTTCTTATCAATGTAGGTGCCCTCAAGAGCCTGCAAAGATTAAATCAGCAAAATATATAAGGTATCCTTTACCAATAAGAAATAGATATAAAAACACTCAGAGAATATAGACTCTTCAAAATATCTTCAGAAGACCATCGCGATATTTATATTATCATCAATTAATATTTTGGTCAAATCTACGATAACGATAATGTAATAAAAATGATCTATTATATAATAAATAATATATATTATATAATAATAATATTGTAATAAAAATAATTATAAAATTATGGTATTATATATACTGAACAATCTGTAGTTATTTAAATCTCAATCAAATTTATTTTTAATTCAATATACTTTACCCCAATGAATTACATCCTACTTGAATAATATTATAGAACAGATCTAATTTTTATAGCTAAATTTTGTAGCTAAAATAAATATATTTTTGGAATCTAAAATAGATATATTTGATATTTGTCAAAAGCAAGAAAGACAGTTCTAGTACTATCTAGCAGAGGAATAAAAACGTATTAAATCTTGGTACATTTACATCTCATACAAAAGGTGAGTTTTTGTACAACGCCAGTAAGAATACGGCCTCTAATTGATACATTGCCCGTAAAGGGACATTTCTTATCAATATAGGTTCCCTCAAGAGCCTGCAAAGGTTAAACCAGCAAAATACGAGGGGTATCCAGAAAATAAGTTCCGTTTTTTTTACAAATAAAGTTTTTATTGAAAAAATCTAAAATTTACATGGATAATACTTGACAACTTCTAGTCTTTTTCTACATAATTCCCGTCAATCTCAATACATTTTGTATATCTG